AATCAACAAAATTTAGCAATTACATGTACGTGTATGTGTACACTATATTGAAATATTTCCATACTAAACATACAAGAGCCTGAAAAACAGTGAGACATCAGACATTTCCCGACCATTTTTGTTTAATTGTCTGACCAAATTCTGTGTTGTTCTACTATTTTTGTCTGAACAACATAATTTTTTTAAAAATATAAATTTCCTATTTTACATAATTACCAATTAATCATGTCTGACTGCAGGGTTTGCCTCAAAGCATGGGCCAAACAGCATGCATGAGCTTCATGAGCTGACAAGCAGTACAATACAGCACACGGGACTCGGAGCAACTTTAAAAATTCATAAACAATCCAAACTTAATTGGATTCAGCTCAAAATTGATACACAGCATAAGAACATGTAAATGTATCACAAAAAAATTTTAATGGAGAATTCTTACCTAGGCATTTTTGACAAAATTTAGCAAATGATCAAAGGCTATAATAGGCTTTGGTCATTGACCCAATTCTTGAGCAACTTTTAAAATTCATTAAAAAGTAGACTTGATTGGAGTATGCTCAAAATTGATACACAACATAAGAACATGTATGTATCAGAAGAAACTATAAAAATGGAGAATTCTCACCTAAAAATTTTTGACAAAATTTGGCAAATGACCAAAGGCTATACCCATTGGTCGTTGAACTGTAATTTTTAAGCAACTTCTATAAATTAATAAAAATCCAATTTTGATTAGAATCAGCTCAAACTGTCTATGCAACATAAAAACATGTATAATGTATCACTCAGAAAAAAATTATAAAATAGAAAATTCTCTCCTTGTAATTTTTGTCAAAATACCCTGTACCAAATTATTTTTTGAGCAACACTGACAAGATACTATGTACCAAATTTCTGCGGAAAATCTTGTCTGACTGTTTCATAACAATGGCACATCAAGTTAAGCAATATTCAGATACAAAGTCTGAACATTGTTTGAATGTAACTTCAGGCTTTGCATACACATCTACATCTACACAAATGCTTCATTCAACTATACCTTTAAAGGAAAATAAATATTAGCTCCTTCAAAACGACATATCTAATTCTTCTGCAAAATTTTAACGTCACTTGACCAGTCCAATTCATCTAATGCATTTAACAGAGCCTACAACTAACTAACAGAACAGGTAACTCCTTGTATGAATGTACATGTACATACTTCAGAATTAATAGTTATTTTGAAATGCAATCATTTAACAACCTCCTTTCAACTTTAGTCCCTAACCTACATGAATGACCATTATCATCAACTTACATTACATACATACAATATTATTGCAGATAATGACAATAACTGGAATACTAGGATGAATTAAGATGCGTAATTAAAACAGAGGATCTAATTCTAATATTACAGTATATGCACACTCATTATTGACATGGCATTAAATAAAGGTCTTTTCACACTGGCACAGTTTTTAAAACGCTTTGCACTTTGTTGATATATCACTCTAGTGTGAACATGATTAATGCCCATCAATGCACATTACTTCTGACAGTGTGAAAAGGCCTTAAAACACACAAGTACATGTACATGTACAATGTATAATCTACTCTTGATAAAAGTCAATGGGATTTTAGTAGTTTGACAGAGTTTCCAATCCCTTCACTCTATCACATGTACATGTAATAATATTATTGTTGTATACTTGTTCATTAGCAAGGACAGTACAGTCTATGGGTCCCAGTTGACCCAGGCTACTTTATGATAAGCTGGTCAAGCCTCATATAAATGAAGAAACAACCACTGAGTCCACTTGGAAAACTTGTTCAGAGTTCTTTATAGGTTAAAACTTAAAACACAATGAATAAACTATAATTACTTACTTAATCCCAATTAAAATAAATTTCGAAACCTTTCAACTGATCCCTCATTATAGATCTATTACTACAATAAAGAGAGAGAGAGAAGACATCAAAAGTAACCTTTCACTCTCACTCATTAATTACTTGTCAGTCCACACTGTTTGTGACTTTCCTCCATCAATCGCAGCATTTTCTGCTGGTAAACCAAAATAATGAGTTCCATCCTATTGGAT